CCGCCGGAGTAAAAAAGGCCTACTTGGTGATCCCCTCGTCCTAGAAAGTAACTTAGTCACAGGGAAAAATCGCCTCAGTTGCCTGTTGACACCGCACAGAAACTCAAGACTATCCCTCCAACACTCCCGAAGCCTACCAAGTTTTCTAAAGTTCTTCCCTTCTTCCCAGCTTCCGTATCCTCCCCCAACGTGAAATCAACTTTTCGGATGGGGGCTCCGGAGGGTCGCCTCCCAGAAAGGCGGCCAAACCAAGTTCGCCCTTTCGGGGACCCCCGCTCTTACTGCACGTAGGTGTCTCACAGAAACTCCAACAGACAGCACTCAGGGTTCCTCTCCTTATGTCACCATCAACCCAACCTATCAACGCCCTTCAACACCTTCTCCCCTTTCTTCGCCTCATGATGAGCGAACTTTTAAATGCTTTTATTGCAACTGCCTCAGCCTCTCCAATAAGATTCTAGAACTGAGGCAGCTTGCACTAGACAATAACCTAGACTTGATACTACTGACAGAAACCTGGCTCAAGGCGGACTTCGCCAATGGTGAAGTAACCGTACCAGGCTATTCCCTTAGTAGATAAGACTCCACCCGCGGAAGAGCAGGTGGAGCTGTAATTCATATTGGGAACCATCTCCCTCCTCCTATCTTCATAAACACGAATCCAATCCCTCTCATAGATAGTCTGTGGATTTGTTTTCAGATCTCCAAGAGGATCAACTTCTTGATGTGCCTAATCTATCGCCCACCACAATCTAGTCTACTAGAGTACCAGCTCCTGATAGACCAGTTTAGGTCTGTCATGGAAAGCTGCCAACATTCTCATCTTCTCATAGCTGATTTCAATTGCCCAGGCATCGAATGGCAAAAGACTTTCTCGACAGACGTCTCCCTCGGTCTCCCTCTTACTGACATTCTTGTCGAGAAATCCTGGATGCAGCATGTGTCTTTTCCGGCCAGGTTCCGACAAGGACGTGTTACAGTAATACAGTTTCAGGACATTGGCGATCGATCAAGTTTGAATGCTGACGTCAATAGCACTTGCATAGCTTCTGAATACACGTCATTGACGGATGGCGCCAGCCAATCCAAGGCAATGCAGACCGAAGCAAGATTATGCAAGTAGTACTGCAATCCAATTGGTGAAAGCCCAGGTAGCTGATAATCTCCCTTTGTACATTTTATTTATTCACATTTATTTCTTCCAATAAACGAACTACTTACTGCCTGTCCTCTGGCCTTTTCCTCGCGTCTCGTTCTCGTGGGACATTGCGAATCCGTGCCATTGTGGTCCAGTGCTTCAGCGATCCAGTCCGTGATAGCTGATTATCGATTCGGGTCCTGTGATTCATATTGCGTGGTTGGTGTTCAGAATTCCGTGCGTATTATTACTACTACTACTATCATTACAAATTGGCGTCGCGTGGTGGAGCTCCCAACGATTGAACAATTGAACCTGCAAGCAAGTCCATCAGAGATCGAGGAATGGTTCGAACGGTTCGAGCTTTGGTGCAGCATTCGCAAAGGTGATACACAGAATCAATCAGCCCTATTTTTTACTGCTGGCGGCCGTGACCTCTACGCCCTGTTGAGAAACCTGGCGTTCCCTGAGGCTCCAGCCAAACTACCATATGAGTCCCTGAAATCGCTGCTGCTCAACCACCTGCTGCCCACTGAATTCCAACCATATGAAAGGGCCAAGTTCAACTCCATGATTTCTGCCGATCATGCTTCTTGCCGTGAATTCATCCTGCAGCCGTACAAGCAAGCATCACGCTGCAACTATGGTGATCCCCTGGAAGAACAAATGTGTGACCGCTTGGTGGCTGGCATCAATAATCTGACTCTTGAACGAAAGTTGCTGGAGAAGAAAGATTTGACTTTTGCTGATGCCCGCAGGATCTGTGAGCAACACAATGACCTGATGAAAGCCACTTCCAGCGCATAAGTCACATTATTCCAACGGCAGAAGACTCCACCGAATCGACCTCCATTGCTCAAGTGTGTACCGAAGCCTCAACACGACTCTTCAGGCAACGAGAAACGCATCAATCCGTATTTGTCATGTGGGCTTACCATGTGTGCTCCAATTGCCGCTTTCGAAATGCCAAGTGTCATGCCTCTGGGAAAACCGGCCACATTCGGAGAGTTTGCAAACAGCCCCGTTGCAATTTTGCACAACCGACAGCTGCGAATGATAAATCTGGTGCTCTCTTTACGATCCAAAACCCAACGCGCCCAATTCGTATACATAGATGCGACATTTCAGTCCGGCACAAGGCACAAATTCATTGTTGATACGGAAAGCATGGAATCTATCATTTCTATTGCTGTGCTTTAATCGATCTGCCCCCAAGCCGAAATCCATCCGACATCCGTGCGAATCCTTGGGGTGACTGGACACAAATTGCCATTGCTTGGTGTGGTTTCATTGATAGTACATTCTAAAGAACATCGCCTTGTTCCCATCCGCTTCCTAATTGCTAAAAACAGCCCATCCATATTTGGACTAACCGCCATTCGTGAATTGAACCACTGTGTGTCGCTCCATACACACTCTATGTCCAATATGCACACCCATCTACAGCACTTGGTCGTGAAATTTTCCAATAACACGGGAGGTATGAACACACAGCCGGCCAAACTGGAAGGTGACGGTGAACCCATTTTCCTGAAACGACGTGTAATTCCCTACGGCCAACGTGATGNAGTCTTTGTAAGTTATATCCCATAATAAAAATTTGAATTTGAATTTGACGTGTAATTCTCTAAGGTCAACGTGATGGTGTACTACGGAACATTGAGAAAATGGAGCGCGATGGCATAATCACACAAGTCACATCCAGTACGTGGGCAACGCCACTTGTGATCGCAATCAAGAGTGACGGCAAAACACCGCGAAGTTGCGGCGAATACCGCTTAACACTCAACCAGCGGTTGCGAAAGTGTGCGGCTACCTCCATGGAACCGGAGGATTTCNCTTCCCGAAGATTGACTTGGCCGATGCATACCTCCAGATTCCACTCGTACCAACCTGCCGGCATTTCACCACTATCAACACACCATGGGGACTGTATCAATACTACTTCCTACAGTTTGGTCTCCACACAGCCTCCGGCATATTCCAGGCGGCAATTGACGAAGTCATCCGTGGACTCGATGGCGTGTTAGCGTACTAGGACTATGTCATTGTATTTGGCACAACGAAGGCCGAGCATGACGATAGACTTCTCAAACTACTGGAGCTGTTCGCCCAAAAGAACGTGTCAATTCGCGCCTCCAAATGCATGTTCAGCTCATCACAATTAGAATTCTTGGGTTCCACAGTAGATGCTAAAGGCTATCGTCCTGATCCAAGTCGCTTCCGCCCATTAACTGAACTCGAGTCACTAAGAGACCAAAACCAACTCAGGTCAATCATGGGATGTCTCCAATACTATTCGCGTTTCATCCCAAAAATCGCCACAAAAGCCCAACCACTGTTTGCTGCTCAATCGACTACGGAATGGAAATGGACTACCGAGTGCGAACAAATTCTGCGTGAAATCATTCGGATGATAACTGACCGACCAGTACTCGCCTCGTTCTCTCCGACAAAACATCCAACTTTGATCACCGACGCATCAGATGTTGGTATTGGTGCCGTCCTCGAACAGAACGGATGTCCGATTGTCTGCATCTCCCGTCTACTCAACAAAGCAGAACGTGGATATTCGCAGACGCAAAAAGAAGNACTGTTTGCTGCTCAGTCGACTACGGAATGGAAATGGACTACCGAGTGTGGACAAATTCTGCGTGAAATCATTCAGATGATAACTGACCGACTAGTACTCGCCTCGTTCTCTCCGACGAAAAATCCAACTTTCATCACCGACGCATCAGATGTTGGTATTGGTGCCGTCCTCGACAAAAACGGATGTCCGATTGTCTGCATCTCCCGTCTACTCAACAAAGCAGAACGAGGATATTCGCAGACGCAAAAAGAAGCACTAGCTGTATATTGGGCCGTCCGTCGCCTACACAAATACCTGTTTGGATTGCGTTTCACCATCGTAACCGACCATCAAGCGTTGCAATATTTATTCAGTCCACTAAAGTCGATCTCAAAACCGACGGCGGCGATGATCCAGTGATGGAGCATTGCATTGGCTGCGTACGACTATGACACAGTGCACCGTCTGGGCAAAGCAATTCCCCAGGCCGATTTTCTCTCGCGGTGGTCCAAATTCTCGGAGGCTAAGAGGTGTCATTTCATTGCTACTGCTGCCCCGGTATCCCGAGAGGAGTTGCGCCGATGTACCAAAAGATACTATGCAGAAATCATAACGGCTCTATCAAAAGGATGGCGTCCCGACCTGAAGCGGAAGTTCGCAGCTTTCTATGCACACCGCGAAGAACTCAGTGTCCAACCTGACGGAATACTATGCCGCAACGATCGACTGATCATCCCACCTCCGTTACGCAAGGCTGTGCTAGAAGACCTACACAAAGGCCACTTAGGGGTGGAGAAGATGAAGTCGTTGGCAAGACAGATGTGTTGGTGGCCCGGTCTAGATGAAGACATTGGTCGAACTGCTAAGAACTGCGAAGCATGCCAACAAAAGCGGAAATCAAAACCGAAGACTTGGGTCCCATGGCCAGAAAGCTGTATTCCATGGCAACGTGTGCACGCCGATTTCTATGGACCATTTCTCGGCCATTATCACGCACTA